CCCCAACCGGTCGCAGCAGATGGCCCCGCCCCTCCCTGACGTGGCTCTGCCGGAGGTTTCTTCCTGTTAAAAGGGAGTTTTTCCTTCCCACTGTTGCCAAAGTGCTGCTCATAGGAGGTCATATGATTGTTGGGTTTTTCTCTGTATCTATGAAGCGCCTTATGTTGTGATTTGGCGCTATATAAATAAAATTGAATTGAATTGAATTGGATGGATGAGCACCAGGGTACATCCATGCAGCCCCAGCAGGTCCCCGAGGCCGTCTGCTGGCTGTGCAGCAAACAAGATCTAAAGGAGGCGGAGCTTTTCCATCAGTGGCCAAACTGTGGCGCTGTCTCCCCCTGAGTCTGACATCTCATTGGGTTCCTTCTCAAAGCAGCTAAAAACCTTTTAAACCTGCTTTTGGGAACTTTTCTGTTTTTCTCTCTGATGCTATCTGAAAAGATTCTATGGCAATACAGTTTGACTCATTTTGAACTGTCAGAAGCAAAAATGATAACTGAAGACACATTTCTGCTCCCCACAGCTTACTGGTGTGGCTCGACCGACAGATCAGCTGACTCAGAACCCACGGAGCAGACGCTCCTCCACAGCCAGAGGTTGGAGAGAAGTCTCCAGATACATTGCCTCAGCCTTGGTGGTGCTGTAACTTGTCATTTCAACTGCTGAAATCAATTAAATATTTTCTTTACCTCCTTAAAGAAAGAAAACCCGAACACTGAGAGTGCCAGTGCTGAAAATCCAAGACGTACGGCTGTAAGGTGCACCTGTAAACACCTGGATTTTAGAAGCTAATGTGGGAGAAATACGCACTCTTTCTGTAGCGTTTGGGATTAAATGAAGAATTTTTTTCCAAAAAAGTCTGGAGTTGGTTTCTTCGAGGATAGCAATGAGAATGCGTAAACAGGAAGTAAATCCTGGTGTCAGAACCTGTATCCAGTGTTTTTGTAACAGAGCAATCACAGCTCTGACTTAGACACACCTTACATCTTACAGCTCTGTGCACCTGTTGTATAGTTCACACACTGGTCCTCCAAACAGTGAGCACTGGTGTAACCCCAGCTGAAAAACAGTCATACCTCTTTTGGTGACAGAATAGAAATGTAGTCTTCATAGATGGAACGAGCTTTCTCCTCAATGGCGCTCTTGTTCATCTCCTGTTTGAGGTCCTCGCAGGCGAGCCAAAACAACATGTTCTCCTCGCTGTACTCTGTCCGCAGGAACTCCCGGAAAACATTTCGACCTGCTGGATTCCTCATCAGCTTGTCGAAGGACTGAGACCACAGCCGGATCTCTTCTAACGATGGTTTGGTGCTGAGGAAGAAGCGGGGAAAGCTTTGTTCATCTTCATCTGTTCATTTGTGTATGTTCCTGGTCTGCAGTTAGCTGATATCAAATTGAACGTACGAATATTTGGATATTTCTGACTCAATTGCAGTTGTGAGGCTAAACACTGAGAGTCTGTAAAGATCCTAGAGCCGTTAATGCAGGATAAACTGATGTAGGCACGGTCAGACCACATCTGTGTTTGAACACATTTCCTTTGCAGGTAAATAAAACTCACACTCAGGCTCAGCTTATTCCCAAACTGCATACTACTCCCATCAACATGTTTCACGGCTCGCTGAGCTCAGCTGAGCTCATACTGCCCCCTGGTGGCATTTTTCTGCAGTGCGGAAAAAGTTGTGTTTTTCATGTTTTTGAGGTCGAGCAGAGAACGATCGACCGCAGTGACTCACCAAGCTTCACAGTTTGGAATGGTTTCCATCTTTGTGTCCGGTATCTTCTTCCTCCTCCTCCACCTCTGCCTCTCCTCTTCATTCCTGACAGTGAGACTGACATGATAAAACAGCCTTCAGACAGGAAACGCGCACACACACAAACTCACACAAACAGCACAGCCACACACAATGAGGTTAAGGGCAGCACTGACCACAGGTATGTTTGCACCAGGTAAGGCAGGTGTGTCTCACCATGAGCAGCTGCAGCAGCAGCACCAGCAGAAGCAGCAGGCGTTGGGCCGCTGGGAATTTTGGGTAGTGGCCGTGCCCCGCCCCCCTCCCGTCCCGGTCAGTGCAGAGGTCTCGCTGCGACCTCCGCCCATGGTGAGCTCCGCCCCTCGCTCGGCCGGAATCGGACCTGTGTACTGTACAGATACATACTCAGGGTGATCAGTGTTGGGAAGGTAACTTTTAAAATGTATTCCACTACAGATTACAGATTACATGCCCCAAAATGTATTTTGTAACGTATTCCGTTATGCGACTCAATGAGAGTAACTATTCTGAATACTTTGGATTACTTAATATATTATCATGCTTTTTCCAACTACATGAATGTATTGCTGTGTGATTTATTACTGAAGGCTACTTGCCATACCAATACCAACTACAGTAGATGTTAAAATCTTAATATAAATGAGTAACAGTAGGTGGACATTAGGTAAGGCTGCACTTTTTGCAGCGATCTCGTGTAGAAAACTATTCGGCGCGTATATAAAACAGGTCCGCGGCTCCGAACCGTAGTAAAGGGACCTCTGGCTAATACGTCAGGTTCGTGTCGGGCTCCTAGCCGAAAACTAGCTTTACTTTGTTGTCTGGGTCAACTTTGCTAGCGAGAGACAGAGAGAGGCGTTGAAAGGCTGCTCCAACAGAACTTATTGTTTCAGAGGAAAACACGAACACAGCGTACAGTCGAGTCTTAACAGCTTACTTACAACTGGGCTCATCAGGCACTCTTTTTTAGTGGTTATTATTATATTTACATGCTTCCAGCTCCCGTTTCTGCTCTGTGACAGCTCGTATGTTTCCTTTTTCACCCTCCTCGCTCACAGACACATAACGGGTATGGCAGTCCATTCTCCCTGCAGCACGGACTACACTGCCCATCAGGCTGCATGCTTTAGGGCGATGCCTGTAACTAGGGCTGCCACAAACGATTATTTTGATAGTTGACTAATCAGATCATGCATCCATTGAACGTAAAACGTACAGCTTATTGCACCAGCAGCAGCTGCTCTTATATAACTATCATTAGCTTACAGCTTTCAGTGTTTCAGGTATGTGCTAACTAAAAATAAAGACAAGATGATAGTTTATTAAATTTAAATGAAATTTTCAGATTGTTTCGGTGGAGTTTAATAAACTCACCGGAGTAAATTCTTGAGCATCTCACACTTCTGATGATCAGTTGTCTGCTTGACGTTTATTCAGCTGTGTAAAAACTATAACTTTAATCTCAGCCAAACCGATTTACTCAGGAACAAATAAAACGTCGGAGCGCTTTTGAAAATATGTGGTGTCTTGATAAACTGAGCAGATATTTGAGGTTTCCACAGCTACATTCTCGCCTGAAAATATGTTAAACGTTTATTTTGTGACCCAGAAAGAATAATAAGAGTAATATTAAAACTAACTAGCTGCCGCCGTTGTTGACAACTGAGCTGGGCCGCGCTATGAATTCTGGGACACAGCTTCTTCTTCTTCGGGGTTTAACGGCAGCTGGCATCCTTGTACATGCAGTGCTGCCATCTTCTGTTTCAGTCCGTTATTACACACTTAAATCCTGCTACTTATTCCTGCGTCTTTTGTATCTTACAAAGCTTCAAACGACGCGTCGACTATTAAATTAATCGTCGACGATTTTGATAGTCGACGTAATCGTGGCAGCCCTACCTGTAACACTCTGCCTATTGCCTTCATATTAAACATTTTAAAAAATATTTCTTCACGTCATTATGAGACGCGAGATTGGGACACAGACATTTGAGCCTCTTAACCCTTTAAGACCTACCATAGAACCAAGTCCGCCAGAGCTTATATTATATTTTTAC